CCCCAAAACCCCAAAACCCCAGTATCTAAAAATAAAATAAACCAATAAGAAAATGAATATCTCAAATTATTCTGATTGTAACTTCTCCAAATGTATTTAATCCATCATTGAGTATCTTCCTATCAATCACCCAGGAAAATTTGCCTGATTAAGCTAATTTCCCATAAGGATTGATTTCAATTATTGTGATTTCGAATTCTGGATTCATATTTATGTCAATAACAGCATGGGGATATTCTATTTTTCTAAGGAAGTCTAAAGTTTATTAGGAGTTAAAGAACTTCTATGTTGCATCAATATCCAAATTTGAAATATCTTGATTTGGTTAAATAGTCACTCCATTGAGATTACCATTACAGACAAAGCATCTAAATTCCCAACCTTTTAAATCTATGAATTCTCTTAAAACAATCTGCTAATCATCATTTAAACTCAAGTCCTCTTAAATTCTTTAGCTATTCTTGCACAAAAGCTCTAATTGCTATACAGTTTATATCCTCATAAAGTATCTCTATGGTTCTTCTTCTAAGTTAACCTTCCACTTTTAAGTCCATTCACCATTAATTGTCTTATCTATTGATGTGAATGCATCTTTTGGACTCCTCCTCATTTTGAAGAATACTTATCCTCCCAAACTTTGAATACATTCTTAAATTTCTTTCTTAAGATCTTATCTTTCTATTATTCCTGACTTTAAATATATGGCATCATCTCGAGTGAGTTCAATTATAGAACTTTTAATAGATTAGTCTTTAATTGCATCATAGTAATACTTGAATTGATAGTATTTTTCGTAGATGTTCCTACTTAGCACTTAGGATGATATTTTAACTATCTTGCTAAGTATACTATAGTAAATTACTCTGAACTCATCATAATAAGTTAATCCTAATGTTTTGTCTAATAATTCTTAGTTTTTAACTATTATATCTCTAGTCTATTTATATTTAGAAATTATTTCAATATATTACTTTTACAGATTCTGCCAAATATTAAAACTCCCTCATGAATGCACTAGACAATTCATCCATTGGAAAAACCGCTGCAAATTTTATTACTTACTCTAGATTTTATTAGTTCGTTAAGAACTCATATTGGTTGTCTGATGATAGATCTAAGAACTATTCAACAACACATCTTTATTCACTAAAACTATGATGTATAAAATACTCAAATAGTAATTTGATTTATGATTTACAGTTTTCCATTTAAAGTTATAAAATTAAGTTAAATAATAAGTTAAAATACCATCTAGAAATAAAATCATTCACATTTGTTTATCCTCTAAATTCTTCTGAAGAAATTTGACTGAGTTTATAATGGTAACCCACCGATCAGCTTCCTCATCACTTTAGCATGCAAATATGAATCGCTGCATAGATTACTCAAGCTATGCTTTTTTATTTGACCAAGATGCAGGTAAGTCAATAGATTTTGATCTTGATCTCGATCTGACTAGTCTTTAATGCACTTCTATTTGCTTTGGAATTTCTATAAATTCTGATAGATTATTTATCATCTCCTAAACAAGTAAATTATTATCACTGAGTACATCTTTAATCAAGGGTTTTTAAATTACTTCATCCAATTTAATAGATTTTTTTGGCCTAAAAGTTTTTGTTGCTGAAAGTTATGGCTTTTAACTATTAAAAGTAATACTACTTTTTAATTTAGCTGGTGTTTAGAATGCTTGGTCCTCAGCATCATTATGTTTAAAGATATTTTTGCATGTATCATACCTTTAATGCTTTGATTATATTCTAATCTGCTCAAGATTGATACTTATTTCTTAGTTTGGTGTCTGCTCAAAAACGTTTAAACATCTTGCTGGGCTTTAATTGAAAGTAAATGCATTATTGCTATTCTAAGTAATTTATCTCTTTAATTTCTTAATGCTACTTTGTTAATTAGATAAGTCCTCTTTGACTTAATTTACAATTATTTCAAATTGGTACATATCATATTTACCAAGTATTTCATCGTTGGTATTAGTTTGCTCTTAAATTCTTTTTGCACACAACACTTTATTCAATTCTATAATGACTGTAGGATGAGGTTTATATATAGATTTGACTTGATTTTTATATATTTTAATTTGAGATGATGTTAGTTATATGTACCTTAAATGATATTATCTATCATACCCTGCTATATGCCTCATTAACTCTCCATCTAATATTATAGTTTTTTTATCTAAGGTGTCAAAAACCTTGGATAGCATTATGGGATATTCCAATAGCTTGACATTAAATTTTCTCATTTGAAGAAGTAATTCACTGTCATTGCTATGTTAATGCTCAAGTTAACTTAGCAAGCTCTATTTATCAAGTGTTAATTTTCTTGTTGGTCTTCTTTATACTGTTTTATAGATAGTTTAGAATCTTTTAATGAAACTTTTTTAATTCTTATCTTCACCTTTATTTATTAGAGAGGATTCTATGTTTAAATTTCTATCTATTTAAATTTATTTGTCACTGAAACCCTCATAATCAAATGATTCCTAGTCTTAGTCATTCTCCGAATCATCAGATTTTCCATTTTAAAATGAAGAATGAGATTTTGATAGCATATGCTCTGTCTCAGTCATCAACCTACCTTGATTAAATTGGATTAACGATTTAAATATCTAGCATTTATCATGTATAATTACATTGATATCCAAGCTCTCAAGGCTCTAATGGCTTTTGTCTTTATTAATAACTGGTGCTTGTTCATATTAGTTTAAGTCAATAATCATTTGTTAGGAGCTTCTATTTGGATGAGTTTTTCTTACTTTGTAATAAGATGACTATTCCTAATTTGACTACTGTGTCTATTAGTAATTTCTCATAGCATAATTTGAATTAAAATTCTTTATAATCTGAGTATCCTAGCTATTAACGCTTTTCTGCTAAATTGCTAGCAAATCTACTTCATCATCTTGTTTTGAACTTTCATGTAAGTCTTATTATAAACTCATCTAATATGGGGTTTCCTCATTTGAACCATCTGAAAGATCTTCAATATCACTATCATTTTGGTTGTAATCTGGAATCTTCCATTATTAATTTATTCTAGAAGGTCCTTTTCTCTCCTCTACCATTAAATTTTATTTTTAGCAAAATATGATTCAATTAATTGAAACTTTCAATTTAAACATTCAGACCCAAGGGGTTTTGGGGTTTTGGGGTTTTGGGG